ATTCACGGATGAGGGTTGACTTGGGGTGAAGAATAAGCCGTCATAACTTCGCAATGGTACTTGTGTTGGTAAAACACGAAGTAATACAAATTGGGTGCCGTCACAAAGTCAGCTGTCTGTCACGAAGTCGGTGAATAATATCAATTAACTGGTGACTCAAAATACATAAAACGTTGTCCCCTCTTCCTTCTTCTTTCTCCATCTCCCCTTTCTTCCTCTACTCCAAGCGCCTCGCTAATGAGCTAAATCAGACCCCTGCCAGTGTCCTAATGACAATCTGAATAACGCAACTACATAGAACAATTCATACTGCCCAAATATGATCCATTTACCAACAACTTGCAAATGAAATCTGAGGCATGAGTGCTCTTCCCTTATGTTGAATCATCTATTATGTACTTTTCTTTGATATTGTGTCATAGCTAGATAGTTGCATACGCAATTAAAATCTGATGCAAAAAAAAAAGAAGGGAGACGGGTATTTGTTACGGCTTGAGTTTACAGATGATAGGTTTATGGTATCACGTGATGTGGAGTCTGGTTGAGTAAGCGTTGGTCCCGGAAGCGAGGCTGCAGACCTCTTTCTCTCCTTGTCTTTTCTTTTAGTTATCGTGTGTATCTTTAGGTCCAAATACAAAGCAATTACTCTTTTATATTTCGAGAGAGTCTTCTAGTGTCAACCTGAGGTCGGTCGTAATAGTATTCCACCAACACACATTCTTCTTGAGGAACATAGGCTCAAGACTGCCGCTCGAATCCGTAGACTAGATTGCTATCATCTGCTTCGCCTACAATCTACGGAATTTATTGATAGCGCCCGTCACCGCCTTAGGCTACGTACATGCAACAAAAGTAGAGTTGGCCTTGACCGAGTTCATGATTCAAGGGTCCAGAGAATGTTCCGAATTTTACCAGATGCAGAATTAACCCCACCTCAACGGCTTCCGGTACCAGCTGTTATAATCTGCCAAGGAATCCCAGATCTGAGCAGATTTATGCATGCCGGATTTTCATGCAAGTCCAAGGACATGAACTTGAGGGTGTCATAGGCTCATGCCTTGTTATCATTGGGCTGCTGCCTACTAAATAAGGCTTGAACTCTTCTATCTTTCTTAGACACCATATATATCATGAACCCCTCCACAACACATTGGAACTTAGTATAGGCCCTGGCCCAGTTCATGCAAATCTATTCTTAAATGATAAATTTAGATTGCAGCCATGACGACTTGACTACCAGTCGTGAGTCATCTAAGCCACATGCATCATGAACTATTTTAATTACTAAATTGCTAACATTAAAATGAAGCTGGATTAAATCAGACGGAGATGCTGGTGTTTGTCGGAGGACAGGTCATGATCTACTTTGGGAATGGTATGAAATGAGAGAACGAGATCACAGTCTTGTAAATAAACAGGAGGCTTTCAGTCATGTCTCTGCTCGTTACTTTAAGATTTTCATTTGTATCTAGCTCTGAGTTCAGTTTGAATAAAACGCCACTTTAAGACCGTCACAAATGGCAACCCATAACTGGGGTTTCATAGATTTGAAATGGAATAGTATGGAATGAAATGTACTGGATAGTGTAGAAACTATACTCTGGATATTCAGGATATGTATATTATGAGATACATCTCCTAACAGTGGGAGTACAAACTAGACATCTAAATATAAGCCTTCTTCAATTAACACAAGGCTTTTCGATAACTACGTTGGTATTCTACGAACATATATGGCATCCTTACAAGGTAGAGATTCAACCCGCATGTGCTCACACTTTTAACACAGAGGGAAACATTTTGGACCCGAGGCGTGGTCTAACCTGGTTCACAGATTTAAGATCTACAAGTCTTTTTAAGGGCTAAGAGAGGGAAATGATTCAAAAAAAATACTTTACTTGTAGATCAATCTTGGTTGGTACTCCCATGGAGCCAGCTTTCTTGTCTAAAAAATCAGCGCGGGTCCCAATATTGTGATGTAACTGTTGTTGTAATTAAGGCAGCAACATGACTGCAGTAGACAAATAGTACATATTAGAATAATATGCACTGGCGCCATGAGATATGATTAACCCATATCATCACTCACTGGCATGAATAGTAATTAGCCAATAGATGCCTGACAGCATACATTGGCTTCAGGATCTCCAACAAGCTTCCCGTTTAGGTTAGATTAGGAAGTATGTTGGAGTTCACACTAGTGTGCGGAAAACCCCGCTTTCATGTATATAGAGGGACTTCTTGCCACACATATAGAATTACAGCAATTTAATCACAATTAACTATCCATTAAACATCAGTAAACTTCTTCGTATAGTAAACACATTTATCGTATCTCTTAATCAAACTCGAGGCTAGTGTGTAATTCTTCCAATCTCCGGAACTAATTTCAATTACTGTCATAGTTGGTATGAGTGCACCAATGTCCGAAGTACAAGTGCTAGTATGCGATACAGGGATTAAATAGTCCCAGCACGACTTATTCCGATCAGCTGTAACGGCTGCTAAGCCTAAGAATTCCTGTAGCCTACGCTGGCTAGCGCAGGCAATGACATCTAGGGAATCTTCGGGGATCTTCGGGAAGGATCTCGGGATACACGGAGCTTAGAAGATTCTTAATGAACCTTCTGGAAGCATACTGAAGGTTCATGAGGATGACAAACATATTGAGAGTCTTCTAGGGAATCTTCGAAGATTCCATATTATTCTAGTCATAGGGGAACCTTATAGCAGAGTATCTCAGAGTGTATATATATTTGTCGTCTAGCTATAGGAATCCTCTCTCTAGAGAATTATAATTAATATACCGTACCTATAAGATCGCCCAAGCTTGTTGTGCTGAAACCGTGACATCAGCGCTTAGAATTGAGTGTTACTAGTACAACGCAGTGCAGAATATGTTACTCCGGTTACGTGACAATAGGCTTTGTTATGGGTGTAGATAATGTACATATATATCAGTCCTATCTATGGGGCATAGACTATCATTGAATTATTTTCTCTCAATTGGTCTCACATTCTCAGTGTCCGATTATCTCTTTCTGCTCATTCGCCGTTATCCCTAGCCTATACACGATTCTATATCTGCTCATAACCTAGTCACAACACCCAAACTGTCTACTAATGAGTAGATGATAAACCTGAAAATCGAAATTTCTTCGAGTCTAATACTTACGCGTATAGCTCCTGATAATCTCATATGCCCAAATATATAGTTGGAACTTCAATTCTTGTCCTCTGATACACTGTCAACCAATAAAAATTTCTGTCTACACGCTGAAGCAGTGTTTTCACCGCAAACCCTTATAGGAACTCACTAGTATGTCATATCACGAAAGTAAGTCAATGCGCTCCTGGTCTTGTAAAGTTGTATTCATGACACGAGAATACTAGCCCTATCTCCCTTTATCTTATTAGCTATCCCAGATACATAGATCTGTTGAATATACAGAGTATCTGACAAATTAGAATGAAATAACCGTTAAAGTTCGCCCCGGCGAATTGGAAATACTATTTAGACGACATACTACACCCATGGAATATGAACTTTCCTCTAATAATGGACTCTGTGTGACGGTCTTAAAGTGGCGTTTTATTCAAACTGAACCCAGAGCTAGATACAAACGAAAGTCTTAAAGTAATGAGTAGAGACATGACTGAAAGCCTCCTATTTATTTACAAGACAATGATCCCGTTCTCTCATTTCATACCATTCCCAAAGTAGATCATGACCTGTCCTCCGACAAACACCAGCATCTCCGTCTATTTTAATTCAGCTTCATTTTAATGTTAGTAATTTTAGTTATTAAAATAGTCATGATGCATGTGGCTTAGATGACTCACGACTGGTGTTCGAGTCGTCCTGTCTGCAATCTAAATTTGTCATTTAAGAATAGATTTGCATGAACTGGGCCAAGGCCTATACTTGGGTCTAATGAGTTGTGGAGGGGTTCATGACATGTATGGTGTTTAATATGGTGGGAAGAGTTTAAGCCTTATTTGTTAGGCAGCAGCCTAATGATGACCAGGTATGAGCCTGTGACACGCTGCAACACGAGATTAATAGATACCATAGAAAAGTAGGCTGAATCATACGGGTGGTTTTGGCGCTGAAAGCTATCTAACGTGGGAATTGTGTCAGATATCTTTCTTGCAACAATAAAGGGCAAGTGCGCAGTTAATACTGTGGCCTGGGTCCGAGAGGGGCCCATTATATTGTATTGTTAGCCATAAGTACGAAAATTATCGCAAAATTAATGCTGTAGATTTGTTGACAAAGCACTCCTTCTGAAATGGTGGTGAAATGGTCTTGGCTTTGTAGATTCCATAGTGAGAATTGGGTGTTAACAGGGAATACAACAGACAGGTGTCGATTCTTCGTTCCCCAGGTCCACTTGCAAGTTTGATTGCAAAATTACTGAATACCCCTATGCGAAACCTTGATGGTAGTCTCAATCCTTCACTGAGGCAAAAAATAATTCCGTGTGATTAGTTCGGGGTGATTTTACCGCATCTACAATGTGGACTTAGGCTCCATACTGCTGCTCTTATATGTAGCCTATACCACCACCTTGTCTCCGGATCAGTTAATTTTGGTATACAGCAGACCAAGTCCAGAATAAAATCAGTTAATAAACGAAATCTAAAAACGGAGGGTCTTTTACATCTTGCTATTTACATAAGGGATTGTGATTTACGACGCCAATCATAATATTTTCCGTTGTCAAGCAACCGTATCCAATCTACATTCTTGGTAGTCTCTATAGCTGACTAGACCCTAGATTCCATCTTTACCGTACTGACATAGACAGCACACACACAAGGGAGTATTCCCGTAATACGCCTAGACACTCACACAAAATCACCGTTCTCATTTTAACCAAATTCCTCGAAGTGTCTTCCGTAATTTGAGCAAAACTTATCAGATAATAGCATTGCTTTATAGCAACTTATTCGTCGAAGTTAGAAGACGCTGCAATTTTTTAGAACTGCTGGTCACTATGCATTGCGCATACGCACTTCTCTTGTGGCCGCAGCAGCCCGAACTGTACCCAGATCGATTAGTTGTTTTGGCTAACCATGGTAAATATCATCATTACGGTGTCTACAAGCCGATGAATAGAGGCCAGTTTCCAGCTCCCGAATCTGAAAAATATTTACTCATGACCGGTGACACCCCTGACGAATACGGCACTTACTTAAAGGCGTATTGCTCATCCCGGATGCCAATATCCCAGATAGTTAGCAAAATTATTGAAGGTCTATCGGTATTAACAACTTCGTCTCATCTCGACTTTGGCACTACGAATGATTCGGCACAGGCATGTCTAGAACGGGTCCTAAACCTTTCTGATAGCATGCCACATGGTGATATAATAACGATTACAGATATCAGACAAAATCATATTTGTTCTGATATTAATATAGTTCATCTAGCCTACAGTGGTGAAATATCTGAGGGTCAATCTGTCGAAGGTTTTTTCCGGCACAACCCAGAAGCCAGAATTAAAATTCGCTTGGATCAGCCGATAAACGTGATGGAAGTTGTCTCGGAAAGCCAGCTCCTTGGGCAATGTCGTATCGAAAACAAACTTCATGTACTTGCTTGGTACCTAGGTCATCTGCATATATTTTATAGAATTACTGGGTCGCCACTGCTATATCCGCTGACAAAAATTGAAGAGGAAACGGCAAACGGAAAGATTATTGAAAGTTTTATCTTCCAGCTTTTCGAACCTTTCAAGGATTTTAAGCAAGCAATAAAAACATTTGAATCGGAACAAGAGGGATTAACCGGATGGTGTTCAAGGAAATTTTGCGCCCCAGACAAAACGTTTCAAAAAATGTACCCTACAAGTTCGGTTATTACACAGTATAAATTCAGAGGACTTAAACAGGCTAACTTCCAGGATCTGGATGTGTTTCGTGGTCAACGGGTAAAATATTCTGGCTGGAGTTTCTAAGTGGTTCGGGGCATGTTAGAAATACAGTTTCCTGCTTTTCTTTCTATCGACCAATGTGGTTACATGCATCTTGCCTGAACAATATTCCTGTGTTCAGGCACGAGCCCATACTTCTGATCTAATCAGACTCAACGTCTGAGTCTGCTTGAATCCCATTCTTCCCGAAAAATCCAGTCGTTGGTTTGTTCGTATTTTCTATTGCATGACCCAGTCTTCTGAGTCAGTGGAAAATTCTTTTCTGGTCTGGAATCTCACTCATTTCTGCAGTCGAGTCGGTTCTGGATAACCTTTCTTCCTTGTAATTCCACTGTATATATCATTATACCTGTAGTCTATTAGTCAATAAAGCAAACTGAAATTCTTCTTCGTTCTCAGTCAATTCTTACTCCGAAGTCTTCTCTATACTCTAACAGGGCATGTAGATTATTTTGGCACATATGATGGGAAATGAATGATAGAAATTAGCCCAGTATATGTAATTACTTTCAAACCTAGTCGTGAGCCGGCAAAGACGAATTCTTCACGTTCCAGTGGTGCTGGTTTAAGCGCTCAGTATGCTCTGCATATCTGAGATAGCCAAGAAGAACCGCAAACGAATCGATGTCGAAGGCATACATAAGCATATCACCAAAGAAGTTGGCTCACGAGGTAATTATTCAACACAGTCCACCGCGTCAATTTTATACCACCTACGATATTGACTACTACCTCAGTCTCATCCAGTCTACAAGTATGACCTAGTACATCCTCATCCCAATGATTACACCTCTCGTCGACTTTCTCTGGCCTCATCCGGTCACCAAATCCACGCCCACGCCAATATTTATACCGACAAAGGAAACATATAGTGTTGCACAATTCTGGGATGAATTAGTGTAATATCAGGGAGAGTATACTAGATGAATCAGAGGATAAACACAATCTCAACGGGCGTTGAATTTTGACAGAGAGCTTCACAAATTGAGCTTTGTGTGTCCTGTCAGGATGTGATAGCATGAGGGTCAGGAAAGACTCTGACTAAAAGGCAAAACAATAATATGATTGTAATCTATGAGGAGAGAAAGACATGGTGGCTAACGCAATACTATATACACATAAAAGTGGTTCCTCACTGGTCCAAGCGTACATTGTAGCACGTGATTAGTGTCCTATGACATTACTTTCCTCCCCCGGTTTCATTTATTTGTTTTTCTTTTTCGCATAGTTCGATTTCTTAATGTTCGACCTGTAAACATCCCTAACTGAAGACCAACTTTGTCGCCATCCCCGTACTGCTTGACAAATTCTTTGTAGGCATCTGTTAACTTAAGATTTTGTCGAGGCTCCCATGTGGGTTCAGCAAACCCTTTCCAGAATACCAGGACTTTGCGACGCCCATTGATTGTTTCAGCGCGAACTATTTTCTCAACAGCATACAACGGATGTTTTCCATCAACTAACGGGGGCGGCTGTGTGTCATCGACTTTTTGTGAAGGCAGTGGATCATTTGGGTCATGCCTTAATAAGTCTACAAAAAATCGATTATGTATGCCTGTTGGTACATCTAGTTGATACACATCAGGTGCAATTTCTTTTTGTATTCTGTATTTTGCTTGAGTCCATGAGAGTTTCTTTTTTTGTTGCGGGGTTTCAACGTTTTTAAGGTTTAGCCAGACGGTATCGCCCGGTTTGAAACGTTCCGCTGGTCTCCTATGATGGTTGGCTGATTCTTCCATTAATTGCTGTGCTGTTGTCATAGCTGCCTGTGCCATGCTTTGACCCTGTATTATTCGGTCTACGAATGCTCGCGCGCGGGCTTGCGGTGATTTTGTTGCTCGTGAATTAGTATGTGTTTGTTGTATTGGTTCAGCATCATAGCCGTGAGTAACAAAAAATGGGCTAGTGCCAATAACTGTCGATTTTCTATTATTGAGTGCTAACATGGCAGTTGGGAGTAGTTTAGACCAGTCTATCTGCGAGTAGCTAATAAATGCTCGGAGGTAGTTTAACACTTCTTGGTTCATCCTTTCTGTACTACCATCGGTCTGCGGATGGTAAGCGGTCGACAATCTTTGGTTAATACCTGTCATTTTGCATAAAGAAGTCCAGAAATGACCCACCCAATTTGCCCCTCTGTCTGATGTTATAAATTTAGGAAACCCATGAAAACGATAATGACAAGTTAGGAAGCGTTCTGCGCAAGCTTCAGCTTCCATCGAATTCATTGCTTCTAGGGTGCAGCTCTTGAGTAAACGGTCAGTGATAACCATAAGATATTTGGGGTCGTCTTCTTTTTGCGCAGGCAAGTCTGTCATGAAATCTACCGACAACTCACTATGAAAGCGTTCAGGTACAGGGAGTGGTCTGAGTAATCCTTGCGGGCATTGACGCCACGCTTTAGATCGACTACAGATCGAGCAGTTTCGCGTGAATCTGCGAATGTCTAAATATTGTTGAGGCCAAAAAAATGCTCGAGACACTATGTGAAGGGTACCGTCTCTTCCGGGGTGTCCAGTAATACTTGAGTCATGAGAACGTTGTATGATCGTTGTTCTCAGTGGCTCCCAATTTGGAACCCATAGCGCACCTCGTCGTGTTAACGCGCCTCTGTCATCTAGGCTACAATCTGTCATTTGAACCCCTAATTTAAGGTCTATAGGTAAAGTAGACTGGCCTGCAGCGACTGATGCATGAATACTGTGAAAAGCTTGGTCTTTTTCTAGAGCTTCGTCCCACAAAGAAGCAATTTCCTTATCTTCAAATAATTTTTTGCCGCTGGGCATGATATTCTGGTCAGTTTCAATATGTTTCAAGGTCATATCCGGAAAGTCTACAATGTTTATTGTATTTAAGATGAATTCTTCTGGTGAAGACGTGCTTAAATTATTTTTGAACAACTGGATATTGCGGCCTTGTAACCGCTCGTCCGACGTATCCCGCGGGGCTTCTTGTGCCCGCCGCGAAAGAAAGTCTGGTTTACCGGACTGGGAGCCAGGCCGGAATACAATTTTGAAGTTAAACCTTGCCAAGGTCTCGGCCCATCTCACTTGACGTTCGCTAAGTTGTCTTGAAGTTGTGAAATATCGTAAATTTTGATGGTCTGAGATAACGGTAAAAGGATTTTCAACGCTTCGAAGCTCACCATCAAAATGGCGCATTGTTGTTATAATAGCGAGCAGTTCTTTATCATGAATGTTATAGTTTGATTCTGCTGGAGTCAATTTACGTGAAAAGTAACCTACTGGTCTTAGACGATTTTTTTCGTCAATTTGAGAAAGAACCCCACCGATAGCATAGCCAGAGGCATCTGCTTCCAAATAGGTTTCTTTCTCGGCTGAAAAAAGCGCTAATAATGGTGCTGAGGATAGCATAGACTTAAGCTTTTCGAATGCATCTTTTTCTTTCGTGTCCCAGCTCCAGCGGGTTTGTTTCGATGTGAGACTGATCAATGGCTGGGCAATGGCCGAAAATTTTGGAATAAACTCTCCGTAAAAATTTGCGAAACCGAGAAAAGAGCGGGTTTCAGAAACTGTCGTTGGTTCCTCCCAGTTTTTGATGGCTTCTATTTTGGCTGGATCAACTGTAACACCCTCGCCAGCCTTGATTACGAACCCAAGATATTTGACTTCAGACGTGGCAAAGGTACATTTGTTGATGTCTAACCGTAAGCCAGATTCTTCGAGTCGTCTGATAACTTCTTCAACCTTTTTATAATGGTCGGATAAATCACCATCAGAATAGATGATAACATCATCCATATAGGCTGAACAGTATTCGTCCAAAATATCTTGTAACACAGCATTTATGTAACTTTGAAAAGTAGCTGGTCCGCCGCATAATCCAAATGGCATGACAAGCCACTCGTATTGTCCATACCTTGTTCGAAACGCTGTTTTCCATTCATCGCCAGGTCGAATACGTAGGCGATGGAATGCAGTACAGACGTCAAGTTTTGTGAAGTATTGGGCTTTGGAGAGTTGCTGAAGTGTTTCTTTGATGAGCGGCAACGGGTATCTGTCCCTTTTTGTTATCGAATTGAGGCCACGATAATCAACACAGAATCGAAGACCTCCGCCCGGTTTTTTTGCGAATAGTACCGGTGCATTTGCAGGAGAATTGCTGGCGCGAATCCATCCTTTACGTAAGTAATCTGTAAGAGTTTTACGGAGAACGAGGAGCTCATCTCGTGACATGCCATAAAGTGGACCTGAGGGGGGTTCCTTAGGTTTGCCTTCATCGTCTAGTTCAAGGTTTATAGAATGGTCCCATCCTGGCTTAGATTCTGGGAGGATTCCATCTTCATCAGCTAGAAAGTTCTTTGCTAAATGTCGAAGCTGCTGAGGTAGTTGATTTGATATTTCTTCCACCGTTTGCTTGACCGCTGAGTTATCTAATTTTTTCAAGGCCTTGTTGATATCTGCTATAGTGATGGAGAATAAATGTAGATGTTTATTTGCTTTTCTTCCACGACGGATTTCCGCGGCAAATATTGAAGCTGTAACGTTTTTTGCTTGACGTAGTTGGTGCATAGAGCCTGATAACTCATCCCGTTCCATCCATCCAGACTCCTTGACTTTTATTGCGTTTGCACCACTTCCTAGAGTGAGAAACTTCTTACCTGCTTCATATGTTACATTGTTACGCTCGGCCCAACCTTTGCCGAGGATTATATTATATTGTAAGTTTGCTACTATGTAGCCAAATACTCTTTCAGCTCTACCGTCAATGTCAAGTGTAGCCCAAGTCATTTCGGTAATGGGAATTTGAGGTCCATCTTTGGCGAGCTTTAGAGATCTGTGGGTGACTGGAAGGCGTGGTAAGTGTGCCTGGTCTGCAAAACTACGATCAAAAACTGCGTAGGGTAGGCATCCTGTGTCAAAGAGTGCGGTGGAATAACAAGTAGAATTTATTAAAATATCAATTAAAAATGGACTACTATTCAACCTTTCAACAGCCTCCCTAATTTCGCTAGCAGGTGGTATTTGATCTAGTAGTTCTCCAAACACACCAACATTCCCCTG